ACTAAAATCTCCATCTGTAAAAGATTTTGTACACACATCCTGACTACAACAAAATATTTTGAATCTTCAAGGACTTTAGATTAATCATATTTTATTTTTTGTGCACGGAGAGAAATTCCAATATGTGTTCCATATAGACAATGGGATAAATCAGTATATGCTTTCCACAGCACCAGACCCAGCCATCAGCAGATCTTTATGCAATGCCAAAGTTAATAACCAGAAAAGTGACCAAAAAATGATGAGAACAGCAACATTCTTCAGCTGGAGAAAAGGTTGACTCTGCCAAGCCCTGATACTTGGGTTGGATGAGTCAGAGGTTTACATAGGAACAATTTCGGAATCATGAAAGCTCCTGCCTTCAATAAAGGTCTTGAACTAATGAGAATAAGGGTGAATCTTTGAGGTCAGTTTGGATCTGACACATGTTCTCCAAGCCACTCGTGTTGCTGCAACAGTTGCTATACTGAAATACTTTCCCAAAGATTTCCAAGAGGTAATGTTCTTTTTGAACTCATCTGAAATCCCATTAGGGGAGTGAATTTTTTCATGAACTTGGCTTGCAGATCAGCAGACAGGAGTTTCATGGTGTTGAAAGAATGATCTGTTAAATAACAGGGAAGGCTTTGAAAAAGCGGAAATGATTTCTTCTGAAATATTATATTCCCTTCAATCATTTGACTGGCTGAACTCTAGCCAAAACTCCTCTCTTCTCATTGTAGAATGCTTCATTTTTACATATATCACCACCACTTTGGTAATTTTTTTAAAAAATGATATAATAATAATAATAATAATAATAATAATAATAATAATAATAATAACAACAACAACAACAACACTTTATTTGTACCCCGCTACCATCTTCCCAGGGGACTTGGTGCGGCTTACATGAGGCCAAGCCCAAACACAACAATACAAGCAATAGTCACAACAATACAAGCAATTAAAATAAAGAACATAGACAATAACATACAGCATTATCAATAAGACAACATACAATTAAAACTGTGGGAAGGTCAAATGTAAAATTAAAATTGGAAATAGTGCTGAAGCATGGGCGAAAAGGTGATAGTGGTGTTTGTGGAAAGACATACGAGCAGACCTAAAAATGTAAAGTGCTTTGGAGGACAAAGTGCTATGGGATCATTATTCCGGGAAGCCACACTGGAACAACCACGTCTTCAAGCTCCTCCTAAAGACTGCCAGGGTTGGGGCCTGCCTGATATCCTTAGGAAGTGAGTTTCAGAGTCGAGGGGCCACCACTGAAAAGGCCCTCTCTCTCGTCCCTACCAATCGCGCCTGCGATGCTGGTGGGATGGAGAGCAGGGCCTCTCCAGATGAACGAAGAGATTGTGTGGGTTCGTATACAGAGATGCGGTCACGCAGGTAGGCGGGTCCCAAACTGTTCAGGGCTTTGTAGGTTAAGAACCTGCACCGTGAATTGGGTCTGGTAGATGAATGGCAGCCAGTGGAGCTCCTTGAACAGGAGGGTTGGCCGCTCCCTGTAAGGAGCCCAAGTTAACAACCTGGCTGCCGCCCGTTGGATCATCTGAAATTTCCTGGCTGTTTTCAAGGGCGGCTCCACGTAGAGTGCATTGCAGTAATCCAGTCTAGAGGTGACTAAGGTGTGGACCACCTTGGCCAGATCCACCTTCCCAAGGTACGGCGCACAAGTCTTAATTGTGCAAAGGCCCTCCCGGCCACCACCAATGCCTGAGCCTCAAATGTAAGTGAAGAATCCAGGAGGACCCCCCAAACTGCAGATCTGTGATTTCAGGGGGAGTGCAACCCTGTCCAGCACAGGTTGCCACCCTATACCCTGGTCCGGTTTACGATCTACCAGGAGGACCTCTGTCTTGTCGGGATTGATCTTCAGCTTGTTCGTCCTCATCCAGACAGCCATAGTGGTCGGGCACTCGTCTAGCACTCGAGGGGCTTCCTTGGAGTTAGGTGGAAAAGAGTAGTAGAGTTGTGTGTCATCTGCTCCAAAACTCCGGATGACTCCAAAACTCCAGATGACCTCACCCAGTGGTTTCATGTAGATCAGTGGTTCTCAACCTGGGGTCCCCAGATGTTTTTGGCCTACAACTCCCAGAAATCCCAGCCAGTTTACCAGCTGTTAAGATTTCTGGGAGTTGAAGGCCAAAAACATCTGGGGACCCCAGGTTGAGAACCACTGATGTAGATGTTAAAAAGCATGGTATATTACATATACTAAACATTCAAATGTGAGTAGATCAATAGGCACTGTTCCGGCAGGAAGATAATGGCACTCCATGCAGTCATGCCAGCCACATGTCCTTGGAGATGTCTATGGACAACGTTGGCTCTTTGGCTTAGAAATGGAGATGAGCACCAACCCCCAGAGTCAGACAATACTGGACTTAATGTCAGGGGGCAACCTTTACCTTTACCTATACTATATATAAATACTTGTGTATAAGTTCACCTCATTTGTAAGTCAAGGGCAGGTTTTGAACCCAAAATTATGGATTTTGATGTGATCCATGTATAAATTGAAGGTCATCCCAAGGAGAGGGGAACGTGCCAGTAATGCCCCAGGAGTGCACCATCACCCTCATTTTCCACCCCAAAATTCAAAAAGGAGAAACATGATTACAAGATACAAGTTACCTTTGAAAAGGATCAAACAAACAAATGCCGTATTACAGAAACAAATAAAAATTTATTAGATTTCAGATAATATAAATAGTGGAGATTCCCATTTGGATTGACAGCACCAAAAAATTCTTAAGGAAGCACCAATTGCTGTTAACTGCAGAACACATTTTAGTCAATGATTCTTACTCAGAGCAAACAAAAGTGAGCAAGTCTGAATAAGAAAATGTTATGACCCATATAAATGTTGCAAAAAAATACAAATTTATATATTTTCTTCTATTTTTCAAAATGATTTTTTTTGCTAATTGTGGTGGTGTAAGGACAATGAATGGACTCAAAGTCATATAATAAACACAAGGATATTGCTCATGTATTTCAAGATGTTTTACAGACATAAGGAATTTTAACCTTGTATTGTCGAAGGCTTTCATGGCTGGAATCACTAGGTTCTTGTAGGTTTTTTCGGCTATAGGGCCATGTTCTAGAGGCATTTCTCCTGACGTTTCGCCTGCATCTATGGCAAGCATCCTCAGAGGTAGTGAGGTCTGTTGGAAATAGGAAAATGGGTTTATATATCTGTGGAATGACTGGGGTGGGGCAAAGAGCTCTCTGCTGAAGATAGGTGTGAATGTTTCAGCTGACCACCTTCATTAGCATTTGAAGGCCTGGCTGAGCCTGGGAAAATTGTTGAGAGGTGTTAAGATGTGCCTGGTTGTTTCCTCTCTGCTGTTTTGCTGTTGTAATTTTAGAGTTTTTTAATACTGGCAGCCAGATTTTGTTCATTTTCATGGTCTCTTCCTTTCTGTTGAAATTGTCCACATGCTTTCTGTTGCTCCCCTCTGCAGGAGTCTACCGTATACCGTGCAGCTGTGGACAAGTCTACATAGGGACCACCAAACGCAGCTGCCCAAACACGAATCAAGGAACATGAAAGGCACTGCAGACTACTTCAACCAGAGAAGTCAGCCATAGCAGAGCACCTGATGAACCAGCCGGGACACAGCATATTATTTGAGAACACAGAAATGCTGGACCACTCCAACAACCACCATGTCAGACTACACAGAGAAGCCATTGAAATCCACAAGCATGTGGACAATTTCAACAGAAAGGAGGAGACCATGAAAATGAACAAAATCTGGCTACCAGTATTAAAAAACTCTAAAATTACAACAGCAAAACAGCAGAGAGGAAACAACCAGGCACATCTTAACACCTCTCAACAAAAGATTTTCCCAGGCTCAGCCAGTCCTTCAAATGCTAATGAAGGTGGTCAGTTGAAACATTCACACCTAGCTTCAGCAGAGAGCTCTTTGCCCCACCCCACATTCCACAGATATATAAACCCATATTCCTATTTCCAACAGACCTCACTACCTCTGAGGATGCTTGCCATAGATGCAGGCGAAACGTCAGGAGAAATGCCTCTAGAACATGGCCCTATAGCCCGAAAAAGCCTACAAGAACCTAATTTAAACCTTTCTTGTTGGATGAGAGCTGATTCCTGAAATGCCAGTTCCTATTGCTCTAGTAGTGTGGAATCAGCATTTCACACTCAATGCTATATATACACATTTCTAAATGTATATATAGCATCTAATGGTCAAAATTCTATTATTAGTCATGGAATTTTTATTTAAGAGGTTGATTCATCATTCAAAAATGATTCAGTGATTCTCATCTAATTGGGACTAATTGGTATAGGATTCCAGACAATGAAAGAACTTTGGGCTGCTCTGAACTTTGCAAAATAATTTCAAACTGTTTTGAATATCTACTACAATGCAAAAAACTATGGAAAGAAAAAGATTTCATAGGTGTATTATGCTGCTATCGTTCTGGAATCTAACATGGTAGTACCTTAGGTATAAATGCAAACAACATTGTTTTGGTATAATCAGCCACTTGAGTAACACTGATGGCAAAACACCTTTTTATACTTAGCCGTAAAGCATAAAACAAGGACATTTAAATAAGATCACTCATATGAAAACAACAAATACAAAGGATCTTATTATCTCTCAAAGGCTGACAAAGAGAAAGGGCACCCTGAAGTTTTTGTCTCCCTTCCTCCCCAATATTTGTTAAAAGCTACAGAGCTAACTAAAACAGTTCAGATTTATTTATTGGCAAAAAGGCCTCAAGTACATTTCAATTGCTATAATCAATTACAGTATTCATTTCCGTTGGGCGTTCACAGATTCTGACACTGGTATGTAGCTGCAGGAGAGCAGCAATAAGTCATCAAGGACTTTCATCTCCTGCATGTGGTTCTATGAAATGACTGGGAACTGAACCAGAACATCAGAAAAAAATGTAATAAATATTTTGGGCACAATCCATGGTGCCCGTGCACCGTGAAAATGCCCCCATGCATTGATCCTCTTGCAGTGTTCCCAGCAGTTTCAAGGTGTTTCACACCAGAGAATATCCCAGTAGAAGATGCCCAGAATGGTTATTTAACAATGGAAACTGAGGTAAACAAAGAAACAATGTCCTCTCTCATGCTCAACTAATAGCTTTGCTATGTTTTTCAGATGTTCCTCTTCCAGGCAGCTCTTCAACAGCATCTCCAAGTATCAGCTTCCCCTTGCAATAGTAGAGGGGGAGAATGTGCTTGTTCCTTGAGAGCCATTTCTATCCGCACATCCGAAGGATAGGATTCCCACCTGAAAACAGCTCAGTGGGTCACATCAGAATACTGAAAAGGATGTTTGAGGCACCACACCTATCTGAGCAGTTTTTGACTACACTTTTGTATCTGAGCTCATTGATTAATGAAGAATTAAGTTTCAAAGGAAACGGCAGTTATTCTTGACCCCTGTGTTCGGGCACAGCCCCAAGTTAGGAGTCACAGCTCATTTTGTACTCTTCATATTTTAGACGAGTTCTTACAAATTTGAATTGATGCAAGACCTGCAGCACTGTTTCCCATAGAAACTATGATTGCAAACACCATGCTGGGGGACCAAGTGACACCAGTTAAAGTAATCCTTACAGAAGGCATCTGGCAAAAAAACAAAATAAAACAAAACGGTTACTATTCATTCCAATACTAGCATTGTTTGAAAAAACAAGAACATGGAAATTTCCTTGGTGAGCACACACACACTGTGGATCTTATCACATTGGGATATACCATATATACTCGACTATAAGCTGAGTTTTTCAGCCTTTTTTCAGGCTGAAAAACCTCCCCTTGGCTTATATTCAAGTCAGGGTCCTGGCGGGAGTGTGTGGGGCTGAAAGAAGAGCCCTTTCCCCATGTCTTCCCACCAGGATCCTCACCTCTCCTCCTCCCTTGCTCCCTGCGCGCCTTTTCCTCCTCCGGGCCTGCAGGAGAGCAAGGCCATAGACAAGCCCCACAGCCACAGCTCCCTCCTCCGCTGAGGAAACCTCACATGGAATGAGGGAGGAGGAGGGAAAAGCAAGCCTTCCTTGGCAGCCTTGGCGGCGGCAGAGGAAGAGGAAACCCCTGCGGCAGGCTTTTCTGTAAGCTTGCTCTCTTTCTTCCTTGTCCCATGCGCGGCCACGGTGGTGGGGGCAGCAGCGGGAGGAAGCAAAAAAGCCACGCATGGGGCAAGGGGGGAGGCGAAAGTGCAAGCTTCTCCCTTTCCTCTCTTGCCACGCGTGCACCTTCTTAGGCGGCGGAGGCAGGAAAGATGTGTGAGGGAGAAGGGAAAGGTGCTCGCCTTTCTCTCCTCCTATGCCCCGTCTGCACCTTCCTCGGCAGTGGCAGTAAAGGAGAGAAAGGCGCGCACCTTTCCCATCCCCCCTTGCCCCATGCGCGGCTTTTCTGCTTCCTCCCACCGCTGCCCCCGCCACCGCGGCCGTGCATGGGACAAGGGAGAAGGAGAGCAAGCCTGCAGAAAAGCCTGCCGCAGGGGCTCCCCCCTCCTCTGCCACCACTGAGGAAAGCTCGTGCTCCATGAGGGGGGGGGGAGGGAATGACAGAAAGACTGGGTGGCCATCTGTCAAATTGACCAGTAGCGGCTGCATTTCTCACCCTTGGCTTATACTTGAGTTAATAAGATTTCCCAGTTTTTTTGTGGTAAAATTAGGTGCCTCGGCTTATATTCGGGTCGGCTTATACTCGAGTATATACGGTAATCCATTTATTTCAGTATGCATCCCATACTTTTTTAAGGACTGAGTGTATACTGTATTGGATGGGAAGTATACTCTTCTCATCACCACACCTGATTGTTACAATTCTTATGATTGGAAAATGCTGCCCTTTGACTCATCACACTATGGAAGGCTGGCTTGTCCCAATCCATTCAAAACACCCCGTACATCACTCTATGACCTTTAAAAAAACATTGTTGATGATGAGATGCATACAGATCTTCCTGTCACACACAAAACAGTGCTTCAGCAATGGAAGAATTCATAGAATTTCAAAAAACACAATTAGAATTCAGTCTGCAAATAATCTGTTTTTGCAACGTTTTGCTGACTGATTCCAACGGAATATTGACAAGATGGGGCAAATGTTATATGCTGGGACCCATTCGAAATCATTCTCAAACAGTCTCAGATATGGAGTATTTCCTAATGTGATAAGGTCCTTTGTGTTGGTCAAATATGTAGTCTTCTCACCAGTTCCCCATAGAAGTTATTCATTACAGTGCTCATAGGCTTGGAACCCACGGATCATTTAACCATTCTTTCCCTCTTTTTCCTACCATTTATTTTTAAATGGTTCATATGGAATGATTTGAATCATGGAGGAGGGCATGGCAAGGTAAATTATTAAATCATCATTGGACAATTATGAATTCTCCACTGGTGGAACAGGAATGCTGGATGCAAAACTAATGGGGATTCTGGATGTGTATGTGCTTCTCAGCATTTAAATGTACACTTTCTCTGCATTCTAAATCATGCTGCTGCAGAAAACATTAAGGAAGCCAGAACTGAGAATATTTTCATTTTGACATTTTTATTTTCGAATTTCACAAGACAGTTTGTTTTGGTGTACTCGTACACGCATCAGGCATGTAGTATAATATTTGTAAATCCAGGATGTAAATAATCTCTTTTTGTACTGAAGGCAGTGGAGAATTTTATCACATCCCACTCCTTCCTCTCTCTAAACACCACAATAAAACATGATGTTCTGTGCATGGTTGCTTTAGTTCAGCGTGTTGAAAGAGTTGTTACTTCTGGTAGCAGGGTGGAAAGGTCTACTCAGGAGTCGGAGGGAGAACAGCAGCGTCAGCGCATTAGGGAAATCATTATGGCTCCAAGTGATACTGACACATTCCCAGGCTTCTCTGATTGCGAGATGGGGGATGTGGAGGTGAGCTGTTGTAACTCAGTGTGTGCCTTCTGTATCTACTAGTGCTAGTAGGAGGAAACAAGGCTTGGAAGAGGAAGATGCTCAGCAGCAGCTGAAGCGCATTAGGGACATGTTCCTAGAATCTAGTGATGAGGAAGAGTTTCAGGGGTTTACTCATGAGGAGATGGAGATGGAGGATTACCGTGGTGTAAAGCGAGTAGCACGCAGTTCAGATAGCGATGAGGAATCCATTTCCAAGCGTCTTAAAGACATAGCAGATAGCTACGGGTCTGAAAGTGATGATGAAGAGCTGGACTGGACTAGGGTCCAGGAGGTTCAGGATGTGATTAATGCTCCAACTTCCAGTGGGGAGTTCCAAGGGTTCACAGACTCATGGGTTTCGGATACTGCTTCTCAGGATGCAGCCCGGAGTGCAGACTGGCAACAATGGAGGGAACGCAGTTCACCTGTGGAACTGGATGCACCTGGAGGCGAATCTAGTGATTCTGATGGGATTTAAGGAGTAGCCTTGGGTCCATCATGTTGCAGAGTTCAAAGTGTTGTGTACCTGTGTATCCTGCTGTTAACTCTTGCCTTGAGTCCTTGCATCCAGAATCGTGTTTCCGTGATCGTGCTGACTACTTTGCCTGGCTTGGAACCGTGAGTCTTGTCTCCTGCCCTGACCTTGGACCGTCTTGACTATTCTTCAATTCTGCCTGTCTCCTGCGTGGACTTCGGACCGTTCCTCATACTGCTTTTTGTGTTGTGATTTTTGAACTGACTGTATTCCATTCCAACCACGAACTGTTTTGCCTGCCTTACTTCAGTTTCCTTTTTTCTGCCCAGACTGCCTGGGTTGCTGTTTTGTTTACATTCCTGCAAGCCGCAGGCTCTTTTGTTTACACGCTCTGCTGATAAGAGCCATTTGACTTGTTAATTGCCATTAAACTCCTTTTGTTAACCCTTAAGCGGCTGTTTCGCCTCGTTGGTCTGCCTGGGTCTTGACATGAGCAGAGGTGTAAAAAGGACTGCTCGCGAGCTGGGGTCTGAGGGGGAATTACAAAGGAAATGCATCCGGGAAATACTTAGTGCACCAACTGACGAAGAAGATTTCCTTGGGTTTGAAAGGAGTTCTGGGTCTGGGAGTGATATGGAAGTGGAGGAGGAATTGGATTGGACCCGTGTGCAGCAAATAAGAGACATTTGCAATCAACCCACCTCTAGTGAGGAATTTGAGGGGTTCACTGGGGATTGGCAGCCAGGTGATTCTTGGCAGGATCTGAACCTTGACAGTAAGTGGCAGAGGTGGAGGGATGGGCACTCAGCTGCAGGGTTGGGGGCAGCTGATAGTGATGACGAGAGGGTGGGGAGCTCATCAAGCTCTGAGGAAGAACTTTGAGATAAAAGAGGGCTCTGTTTGCATGCTAATTCGCAGAAGGCAAAGTGTCTTTATGGGACATAATTCTTTGTACTGCCAATTCTTGACTTTGGGTCCTGGGCTACAGCTTCGTGTGTTCCTGAATTCCTGTTCCTCGGTGATTCCTGCGTTCCAGCATTTGTTTACCAGCGGCTTGACCACGGACCGGTTTGACTACGCTTTTGGTTTTCTGGACTTTGAACTCTAATATCTTTGTGCTTAAAACATTTCCTAGTTTTGGGACTACGTTTTTCCATCTCCTGTGACTGTGTTTTTGTGCTGTGCCAATTTTCAAGCAGTTTGCTTAATTTTGAGTTTAATCCGGATTATAAGGCAGCGCTATAATCCAAGTTATATTTTTGTTTCTGGTATCACTTTATTTTTGATGCCAATTCACTCCTGGGACTATTTGCACTGAAGTTAAGTGGTTTGAAGACTATTTCTGTTTAATAAAGCTGTGTTTTGTACTCTTACTTTGTGTTTGGCTTTAATTAAGGCTTCTGGATCCTGACAATGGTCCTAGTTCTTCACTGCATGTAAAGCCTCATTGATATGACACCTTCTGAAAGGGCCTTCAATGTTTTTAAATATGTTCTTCACAGCTGGCAGTTCAATATTAAACAGTAACTCAATAATAATAATAATAATAATAATAATAATAATAGACTTTATTTATATCCCATTCTCCTCCCCAAAGAGACTTGGGGTGGCCACCACACAAAGATGACTGCAAGAGTGTTGGGGGGACCCACGAACCCATCATTTGTCTACTACTGAGTTCCAATGCTCGCTTCCAAGGCAGATAGGCTGACCTTTCAAGGATAGATGCCATGCCTTACTCTTTCCAAGGGTTGCCTATCAATGTTGAGCAGCAGAGAAGAAGCCATGTTACTTAGGGGGAAAGATGCTACCTTCAACCACTCACAGGCCAAGTAGAATTTATTTTGCTGCTCAGCAGAAAAAATACATACTTTCTGCTATACGCTTAGCACAATAGGAGTTTGAGCAAAATCAAGATATGTCTGTGTGTTGTCCTTGACTCAGCTGGGTTGACATTTAAAAATCAAAATGGGCATTGTCTAAGTTGAGCACCTTTAGCTGAGTATTGGCAATACCCCCAACATCAACCAGTCTCAACTAATCGGTTCAGTTAGTATTGCCTGGGGTCAAAGCTTGAAAAGCAAAGGTAGAAATCTGCAAAGAAGAAGAAACATACTTACCTTGTTTTTCAGGAGGGGCACAAAAATTGGTGTTACAAGCTTGGGTGGCAACTGGCTTCTGATGCATGAGACATCCAGTAGCAGATCTCCCATTTGCGAGGCACTGAACAGACCGCACTTGCATGCCACCTCCACAGGTTGTTGAACACTGGAGAGCAAAGAAGACTTAAAGAATTAATGTAAGGATACTGTTTATAGCAGGCAAGTCTTCTAAAAGTATGGCTATGTAAATGAAGGAGTTAATGGCAAGACTACAGTTCTTGCTAGTTTTAGTTATGCCTCTGTAACAGAGAGATCTGTGACGGCAACTTCCTACTCTTTTTGAATCATGTCAAATACTCAGTACACTGGGTTGTTGTAGGTTTTCCGGGCTATATGGCCATGTTATTGAGGCATTTTCTCCTGACGTTTCTCCTGCATTTATGGCAAGCATCCTCAGAGGTAGTGAGGTCTGTTGGAAGTGGAAGTATTTCCACAGATTTATAAACCCATTTTCCCACTTCCAACAGACCTCACTACCTCTGAGGATGCTTGCCATAGATGCAGGTGAAACGTCAGGAGAAAATGCCTCTAGAACATGGCCATATAGCCCGGAAAACCTACAACAACCCAGTGATTCTGGCCATAAAAGCCTTTGACAATACTCAGTACACTATTTATGCCCTATCTTGTGGTCAAGATCCTTCTGAGAGAACCACTCAAAAGGAAATTGTTTTCAGCAGTGATTCCCACCAAGGCAAGTCTATTGCTTGCATACTCAGTCAGGTTTACAGTTTCCTACAGCTTCACATCACAGGAAGCAATTTTCTCCTGAATTGCCTTTGTGAGTTGTCCCAGGTCATGTCAACCCTAGGTAATTCTCACAGTGGAGGAGTTTTTAACCGATGGTTTATTCTCTCTTTCTTAAAAGTATTTTTTAAAAATAGCATTATCAAATTATAATGCTGGAAGTAAGGCTGACTAGGGCCAATTCAGATGCCAGCTACTTAAGAAGAAATTATGCACTCATCTTTCACATATGCTTAAAAAGGAATAATGAAACTAGATAAAATCTTGCCAAGACAAGATGGAACAGAAGGAGGATGGGGAGAAAAGGGAAAAAAGAGAGAATTGTTTTATATAAATGTACATGGGCCCTGAAAGCCTTAATAGCACTTTGGGTGAATCTATATGAGGCATGGGCAAACCCAGGTCCGCGGGCTGGATATGGCGCTTTGGGCACTTCATCCCAGCCCCTGTCTGCTTCATCCTCTCCTTCCAGATGTGGACACAGTGGCCTGCTGTGTCCCCAGACTGAGAGGAGGGCCAAGGCAGAGACCACACCTCTGCCAAGCATGTTTCTCTCCATCATCTGGGCCATTACTGCTCAAGCAGGGAGCTTTGAGATGGTAGAACAGAAGCTTTCCGAAGCTCTAGGTGCTCTTACTGCCTATTACAGGGAAAACCAGCTGATCCCCAACCCATCTAAAACACAGACATGTGCCTTTCATCTCAAGAACAGACAAGCATCCCGAGCTCTGAAGATCATCTGGGAAGGAATCCCACTGGAGCATTGCAGCGCACCCAAATACCTGGGAGTCACTCTGGACCGTGCTCTGACCTACAAGAAGCACTGCCTGAACATCAAGCAAAAAGTGGGTGCTAGAAACAATATCATACGAAAGCTGACTGGCACAACCTGGGATCACAACCAGACACAGTGAAGACATCTGCCCTTGCGCTGTGCTACTCTGCTGCTGAGTATGCATGCCCAGTGTGGAACACATCTCACCACACAAACAGTGGATGTGGCTCTTAATGAGACATGCCGCATTATCACGGGGTGTCTGCGCCCTACACCACTGGAGAAATTACACTGCTTAGCCGTTATTTCACCACCTGACATCCGCCAGGAAGTAGCAACCAATAGTGAAAGGACCACAGCAGTGACAACTCCAGGCCATCCCTTGTTTGAGTATCAGTCAGCACACGTCAATGACTTAAATCAAGAAATAGTTTTCTAAGATCTACAGAGACAGAACACCTCAGCAAGCGAAAGTCCAAAAGTGGCAGGCTCAAACCCAGAACCTCAATCAGTGGGTGATACCAGATGAGAGACTCTCTCCTGGGCACACAGTAGACTGGGCGACTTGGAAGGCGCTGAACAGACTGCGCTCTGGCACCACGAGATGCAGAGCCAATCTTAAGAAATGGGGCTACAGGGTGGAATCCTCAGCATGCGAGTGCGGAGAAGAACAAACCACTGACCACCTGCTGCAATGCACCCTGAGCCCTGCCACATGCACAAGGGAGGACCTTCTTGCAGCAACACCAGAAGCACTCCAAGTGGCCAGATACTGGTCAAAGGACATTTAATCAACTCTCATACTCACAAATTTTGTAATCTGCTTGTTTGCTTTGTTCTGTTAGAAATGTAATATAATTTGACTGGTTGTTCTGACACGACAAATAAATCTGGGCCCGAGGAAGGTGGGCCGCTGCCTTCCTGGGACCCAGAGAGCAGCCTGGGAGAAAAACATGCCACCGCCACTTGGCAATGACATGTTTTTCCCCTCTTCAGGATCCAGGAAAAGCAGGTCACTGCCTTCCCGGGGCCCAGAAGAGCGAGGGAGAGTAGTGGCAGTGACATGTTTGTCTCCCTGGAAATAGACTCGCCTCTTCCAGCCCCCGTCCCACCCTTCTGCCCTGGCTCTGCCTCTTCCAGCACTGGCTCTGCCCCTTCTAGACCTGCCCATGCCCCTTCCAGCACCAGCCCCCACCCCTTCCAATTCACAAGTCCATCCCTTCTGGTCCCATCCACACTCCCTCCCGGCCTAGCCCTTGTAGCCTAGCCCACAAGGCGGATCCAGGGCAAAAAAAAAAAAAGCCCATGCCTGATCTATACTTTAGAATTGATTCAGCCTGATGCCACTTTAACTGCCTTGGTTCCAATGCTGTGCAACTGGATTAATTCTGCAGTGCAGACGCATCCTTTGTCTGCATTGAACAGATTAAGTATCAGATTTGAACAGATTAAGTATCAGAAAAAAACCATGAGAGGGAAATGTAGCAAACATTAATGATACAGAAACACCGCCATTTGGTGTGTATTTGGAAAGATTGAATAAAATATGGCAATTCCAGCATGCTAGAGTTGAGAGTTACTGAAAACTAAGTGTGACCTGAAATCTGGAAGATCCATTGGGTGAAAAGGGTGGATAGGGTGAGGAGTTGACACTCTCTCCAATGAGGCAGATCTTCTAGGCTTATTTTGCTGAAAGGGTTCAAATAATTCTTCAGCCATACACTATTGACCACCCCTGCTGATAGCCATAGAAACATGTCAGGTGTGTTTTTTTAACTGGGTATTTGGATCTCTCTGTTTGTTTATTTTATTTATTTATTTATTTACAGCCTTTATATTCCACCCTTCTCACCCTGCAGGGGACTCAGGGCGGATTACAGTGTACACATATATGGCAAACATTCAATGCCAATTTTTGACATACAAACATATACAGACATACACAGAAGCTATTTAACTTTTTCTGGCCACCAGGGGAGCTGTCACTTTCATCGTCCATCTGCGATGCTGATGAAGCACTTACGCATTCCCCGCATGCTTCCCCGCTAGAATGCTTTGCTGGAGTCTTCTTTATGGTCTCATAAATCAGTTAATTTAGCCTCCCCACACTTTAAGGTGGTACCTTATTTTCCTATTTGACAGATGCAACTGTCTTTCGGGTTGCAAAGGTCGACAACAGGCTACACACAATTGGTTGGAAACCCACTCCATCCCGGGCTGGCTTCAAACTCATGACCTTTTGGTCAGAGTGATCTTAATGCAGCTGACACTCAGCCAGCTGCGCCACAATCCCGGTTTATCTGCTAGCGTATATTCCCTAAACTGGGTTTTGTTTTGTTTTGGGGATGTACTCTTGGGATGGACACAATAACCCATGATACGCATCCATACCCACATACGCATTCATTCTCTCTTTCTCTCTTATTTATACTTTTATATTCCCTCATTCAAGTGTTTTAGCTTCAGAAGAATTATTCCAATGCAATATAATATATTTAAGCAACCAGCTCAGAGTCGGATGATCAAATGGTGCAGCCATTCCAAGAATAATTTTTTTGTGGGCAGCAAGCCATTGTATCTTTAAAATCCTCTCAAGTAGCATGGCTGACAGTGTGAAAATGCTTCCATGCAACTGATTATCAACAACATGTTAATATGTAATCTAAAACTGTGCTAAGTACTAGGAACTTGCTGGTTACTATCTCATGAACACATAGAGTCTCCCAGAGATAACTGTCAGCAACAGAATGATGTTTAACAGCTGTTTGCAGAACATGGACTGATCCATATTAATTTAATCTAATAGCCTTCTACCTTCAAAGTGCTCTCGTGGAAACATCATTGAATTCATTAAGCATCTTAATAAGCAAAGATTCATCAAAAGTACTTTGTGAAGTCAACAATACCCTCTCTTTCATTAGATTCTGATTAATCTTCTTTCCTTCATAACCATGACCATCATATTGTTTATGTACAAGATTAATAAAATGGATGCACTTGACACCATCCTTGTATGGGGCTTGTATACATAAAGCTTAGTATTAGTTAGTAATTTAAATCAAATTTCTAGTTCCAATCAGAATAGACCCATAGCCAAATGTATACACTCACTGAATGTCATTGTGACTGGTAGTCAAAGTCCTTATGCATAATTTTGCCAATTATTAATATGCAATATAGATTTCCATATTTCCTTCTATACTATCAAAGCCGGGAGGACAATTTATCGTCTACCCAAACATACTTGGATTAGAATTCCTATGCAAATATAGGGAAAGCTACTTGTTTTGTACTGTATTCCCAGAAGTTCTCAGCAAGCATGCCCAGAGATCACAGTGAAAGGGAAATCCTGATAGTTCAAAAATGTGTTTTATAAATTCTGTTTTCATGATTCTTAGGTATTGCCTACATAGAAAGGGCAGACAGGACTTTCAAACCACAGAGTCTGGAAGGCCACCATCTGATCATCTACTATAAACTGAGGTGCACAGGGCTAAGAGACTGCGGACTGGCTAAGGTCACCTAATAGATCCATACCAGGGGTGAGTTAGGAATATTAAAAAGAGCTTTCCATATCAAATCAA